CCCGCCCCGCCCCGCCCCGCCACCTTCACCTTGATCGCCATGAGGAGGGGGTCCCTGGTCCCGCCCGGCGCGGCGGTATCATCTCCCTAGTCATTGAGCTCTGATCGACTGAAACGCTCGGCGGACGCGGTCGCCTGCCTGGTGCCCGACATGGAGGTGAGCGCGGCCAAGGAAGGGGCCCGGGAGGGAAACCTTACGGATATCATATTTTGGGAACTCTGAATGCCTTCTTCGCCACTTTCCCGTCTACCGAAGTCGCGAGGATCTTTTTGAAAGGCGGGCTAGACCGATATGCGAATCGTTTGCACATCGTTTCGGTATTTTGATATCGCTTCGACATGTGGCTTGTGCTGATGCGCCAACCCGGGGTTCGGCCTGCGCTGCGCGGCGCTGTGTCTCTAGGCTAGGTCAGTGTGCATCGCCGGTGCTTTGCACTGCCAATGAGTCTGGTCAACGTCGCACACTCCTCAGCGTTCCGTCAATATTTTTTTCCGGCAGTCTTGGCTGAGGTCAACAGACGCGCATTGCTCAACGCGCCTCCAGCCGCGGCGACCCTGGGGGAGGCTTGGCGCCGACCTCGACCAGGGCGAGGAGGGCTTCTCGGCAACCTTGGCCGTCGCAAGGAGAGGGAGGACCCCGTTGGTTTTGCTTTCGGGGCGGTTAAACTCTGCAGCGCCATCCCCGCGTGTCGGGCTCCAGGATACCATCCTTCCCCAAGGGTTGCGCCAGAGGAACGCCTCTCCTGCGGGAGGCCCGGAAGAAACACTTTTGACAGTTCCGTAAGGGAACTCCCATCATCGTGAGCGCGGTTCCCCGGAGCCTCTCGCAGCTCCGAGTTCGTCTTCTCGTACTCAGGCGCGCGCGGCGCGGGTGCATCTTGCGCGAGGCCTCCGCCAAGGCCTGCCCATGTCCGTCTGCGTGCCGCGGGAGGTGCGGGCGGCGGGGGGGGGCGTGCACGGGCGTGCGGCGTGCGCCAGCGCCCTTGGCACACTGCCCGCCACGCCCGTTGGCTAACGCGGGGCGGGGTGGGGCGTACCCGCGCCCGGGGCGACGACGGCGACGACGTCGTGCATCGGCGGCACTGGATCCATCCCTGCGTGTCCCCCGTGTTCCAGATGGAGAGCAGCACCGGGAGCCCCGTGGCCGACTTCTACCGCGGCCGGTCCGTGTTCATCACTGGCTCGACGGGCTTCATGGGCAAGGTGCTCGTGGAGAAGCTGCTGCGCTCGTGCCCGGACGTGAGCGCGCTGTACCTCTTGCTGCGCCCGCGCCGCGGCCACGACGTGCGCCACCGCCTCGAGGACATGCTCAACACCCCGGTAAGCTCCAAGATTGATTCCATTTGTTATTAAATTATTTTTAAAAATGTCCGCACAAAATAACTCTACTGGAAGGAAGAGTGCCCCCCCCCCCTCCTTTTCCTCGCTCTCCATTTTATTTTTCGTTTCCTTCTCGCAGATCTTCGACGAGGTGCGGCGCAGCCGGCCCGACGCGCTCCGCAAGGTGGTCGCCATCCCCGGGGACATGACGTTCCCCGACCTCGGCATCTCGGCGTCGGACCGCGAGCTGCTGACGGACGAGGTGTCCGTCGTCTTCCACTCGGCCGCCACCGTCAAGTTCGACGAGGCCCTCAAGCTGTCCATCGAGATGAACATGCTGGGCACGCAGCGCATGCTGCAGCTGGCCAAGCAGATGAGGAAGCTGGAGGCGTTCGTGCACGTGTCGACGGCCTACTGCAACTGCGACCGCAGCGAGGTGCGCGAGGTGGTGTACCCGACGCCGACCGACCCGGACAAGCTCGTCCAGTGCGTCGAGTGGATGGACGCGGACATGGCGGACCACATGACCAGCAAGTGAGTGTCGTTGTAGGAGGTGCCTCTTGAAACAACCGTCCGGGGAAAGCGCATCGCCGTAAGTCGGATTCTTCGTGATGGGGTGACTTTAGCAGAGTGTCGAAAAAATTACACGCGACTACATATTTGAGACACCCTCTTCTCCTTTCTTAAGAAAAAAAAAAAACATGTTTTAAAAAAACTTGTGAGATTAGTGCACCGCCTCTTTTTATCTTGTCCTCCGCAGGATCCTGGGCAACCGGCCCAACACGTACACGCTGACCAAGGCCATGGCAGAGACCAGCGTCGCCAAGGAGGTCGGCAGCCTCCCCGTCGCCATCGTCAGGCCCTCGATCGGTGAGCTGAGCACCGGGGCCTATAGAGACGCGTGTCGCTGGCGCTGGCGGCGTCCTGGTGAAGCTGAATCTTAACTGTCCCGTTGACTCGCAGTGACGGCCGCGCTGCGGGAGCCCCTCCCCGGCTGGGTGGACAACATGAACGGCCCCACCGGCCTGTTCGTGGGCGCGGGCAAGGGGGTGCTGCGGACGCTGTACTGTCACCGGGACATGGTGGCGGACCTCATCCCGGTGGACATCTGCATCAACCTGCTCATCGCCGTCGCCTGGAAGACGGCCACCGCCACCCGGAACCAGCACGGCAAGAGCTCGGGCGAGGAGCAGCAGGTCGTGGTGTACAACTGCGTGTCCGGCGCGCAGAACCCCATCAAGTGGGGGTCGCTGCAGGACATGGCGCTGATCCACCTGAGGCGCAACCCCTACAGCGGCGTGCTCTGGTACCCGGGCGGCTCGTTCAAGGAGTCGCGCGCCTACCACGACCTCTGCTCCCTCGCCTTCCACACCATCCCCGCCTACATCATGGACGCCGCCGCTCGCCTCTCCGGGAAGAAGCCGATGTGAGTTTGGGTGGGACGTCGTGCCATGACGTGGAACGCGTTGAATCGATGTCACGATATCGTTCCGCTTGGCCTCGGGAATTCCCTGCTCTCCTTTTACCCGCGCTTTCACAGCCCTTCCTAGAAAAAAATCGGAACGATATTAAACCGATATTGAAAATTCCGATATTCGTGTCGAATCGATCCTCTGAAATGGTCCTGCAATTGACCCATTTCTGATGCCGATTCGATATCGCGTCGATTTCGATCTCTCACTGGGTCGCCCTTTGGTCTTGCAGTATGGTGAAGATTCAGCAGCGGCTGTCCAAGGCCGTGCAGTGCCTGCAGTTCTTCACGACGGGGGAGTGGCAGTTCAGCGACGACAACGTGCAGGCGCTCATGGGGGAGATGACGCCCGCCGACCGGAAGGTGTTCGACTTCGACGTCAGGGAGGTGGACTGGGACGCGTACCTCAACACGTACGTCCTCGGCATCCGCAAGTTCGTGCTCAAGGATGACCCCAGCACGTTCCCCGAGGCACGGGCGCACCTGAGAAAGTAAGTGTTCGTCTCCGATCTCTCTCCAGATATGAGATGAGATCCAGTCTGCCCGGTCCCCTTGCCTTTTCCAGTCGGGCACTTCCCATCGGCAGTTTGCTCGTCTAAGTGTTGCCGAGTATGAAGGCAAACGTCCCCACGATCACGCATGTCGAGAGATCGAGGGAGATGCTCGCCTACTAGGCAGGCGTAGATGCAACCCGCTGCGCACACGTCGTGCATTGGTGGGAGACTTTAACACTGGTTCGTCTTCCTTGCAGGATGTACTTCGTCCACCGGCTGAGCCAGTTCCTGACGGTCACCATCACCTGGCGGCTCCTCTTGGCGCGCTCCCAGGTGGCCCGGAGACTCTGGTCGGTCCTCGTCGGCATCCTGGCGAGGGCCGTGGGTCTAGTGTCCGGGGTGGCCCGGGCCGTCCTCCCCTCCATCGGCAGCATTGCCGCTCCCGTCAGCGCCCACTGATGCAGGCCGCTGTCGACTTTCATTCAATTTCATTTTAGAACCATCACCATCTGTTGCAACATGATTTTAGTAGTCTAAAACATTTTAAATTTTTAGTCTTTTAAATTTTACGAAAGGAACAGGACTTGTAGTGTAGCTTTAGTAGAATGGTTTACAGTTTACAATTCCTGGATGGAACTCATATCCCAGTGGGGATTGTAATATTCTTCTTGTGCATATATCATGTTTATATCATTGTTCTGCCCTCCCATCATCACATTGTTTTTATCGATAGAGTTGTACATTTTTTTTTAGATTTTA